TCATACAGGTAACGAGTGGGGGACAGAAAAGCTTCTTACAGAAGACGTTACAGGTCTGTGAGAGCCAGAGATTTTCCTTGTTTGAGGTGACCAAATACTTATTTTCCACCCTGATTTACGAATAAATTCTTTACAAATCCTACCATGTGGATTCATGGATTTTTTTTTTCACATTCTGTCTCTCACAGTTGAAGTGTACCTCTGGTGCAAATTACTGACCTCTGTCATCATTTTAAGTGGGGGAACTTGCACAATCGGTGGCTGACTAAATACTTTTTTGCCCCACTGTACTTTTACCATAGTTACACGTCCCCATCTCTGCACTCAATCTCACATTCACCCTAGTTTTACTTCCTCATTTTAGTACCAGCCTAAGTCATAAAACCCCCACAGATATCTGTGTGAAATCTAACTATGAGCAACGGTCACGGTGGCATTCGCACCAGTATATGTTTGACATTTCTGCATCAGAACTTAACTTGTGCACAATTTCCAGCTGTGCATGAGCAGCATGCATTTTATCTGGTATGGTGCATTTGTATTTACTACAAGATTGTATAGAAAGAGTCGTAGCCTGGCTGGTAAACCCATAGCAGATTATTTTTAGATTCTACAACTGAATTTTTCTTTGTTAGATGATAGAAAGTCAAATATGATGAGCAATAAAATAAAACTGAAATAAAAATAATGTCAAGCTTTCACTTGTTTTGTCTTTTCCTTTTTCTAACAAACACGAAAACCCCTCATCACAAGTCCAAGATCTAGCTTCCTCAAACAAAGCCATGGTTGCACAGCTGATAAAGACTTGATGATTTTAATTGTATCTCGATACTTAAAACCTTAGTATTGAAAGAGGGATCGCTTTCTTTTTTATATGACCATTTTAAATGAGCTTAATTGGCTTTGAAATGTGTTTTTTTTTAATCTCTCACATGCTGTGACATAATTTATACATTGACTACTTCTACTCCTCACAAAGGATTTACTAATGAAACTGAGCATGGCCTTGAGAATCTCTATAGTTTTTCTAACTTTCCTCTGAATTGTAGTCAGTCAGTTGGAGTCAGTTAGCTAGCTTAGGTCAGATAAGCCAGTGTTTTGTCAGGGGATGGGTGGCCCAGCATTTTGAGTTCATTTTGTATTTTTGATTTCTTATATTGAAAATATGTTAAGTCTTGTGTTGGTATTATCAGTTAGAGTTTAGTTGAGTGTTATTCTAGTTTAGGTTCAGTGTTGGGCAAGTTACTTTGAAAAAGTAATTAATTATAGTTACTAGTTACTTCTTCAAAAAAGTAACTGAGTTAGTAACTGAGTTACAAGATTCTAAAAGTAATTAATTACTTGAAAAGTAACTATTGCGTTACTTTAAAAAAAAGTTTAACCCTCTGGGGTCCAGGGTATAATTGGCCATTTTTAACTACTTTTGATGTTTCCCTCTACATTTCACCTTTAAAAACTATTTACTTTGCCTTGTTTGGTATCATTCTTTTCAGCACAACCTCACGTGTCTGAATTTACAGTTATGTTTTCATTTTGACATACTGTATTAACACAATTGATCTAAAATCAGACAAAAAACATAAAATCCGAGTAGAAAAAGTTATATTTTACTGTAACAACCACAAACATGTTTATTGAATCATATTTCATAACTTTAAATGCAAATATAAATTGTCAGTTTTAAAATCCTATGCACAAGTTTTGTAAACAACAAAGTTATTTGCATCCATTTACCTTTTACCTTGATTTTTTAAATAACCATTTCAAACTATTTACAGAACAATCAGCTGTTCTGCATTCAATAAGATGCCACACAAATTATTTGTGCCACTCCAAATATTTCTGTCCACTATAAAGGAGAACATCACAGCCTGATACCTGCAGGTCTGACACAGCAGGTGTATCACTCCTGTTTCTACCTGGAGACAGCAGTGGCCTCATTGTTCTGACACACAACACAAAACTATCCACAACACTACACACTAACTACACAAGACAACACATTAACTACACACTCCAAACACACTAAACCTAATGGATGGTAAATGGCCTGTATTTATATAGCGCTTTACTAGTCCCTAAGGACCCCAAAGCGCTTTACATATCCAGTCATCCACCCATTCACACACACATTCACACACTGGTGATGGCAAGCTACATTGTAGCCACAGCCACCCTGGGGCGCACTGACAGAGGCTAACAAATATCTCACATCTCAAAACTTGCTCTCTCTCTTTTTCTGCTGTCTTTCTCTCTCTCTCCCTCTCTCTCTCTCTCTCTCGCCGTCACTCCTAAAACTTCCCCTGTTTTGTTTTTTTGCTCATAAGCAGAGAGTGCTTGCTGCGCTGTCCTTAGACAGTAAACATGACGAAACTATTGAGGAAAAAACGCCGCGTATATATTGTTTATCATGACTCTGGTTTTACGTGGCCTATCAACACAATTTAAAAACTGGTATATATCACCTTGTTGCTTTGTCTTTAAGTGGTCATGTGATTGGCTTACCACGACTACTTTATTCTTCCTCAGTCAAACAGCAGCACTCATGCGATTGTTTTGCCCCCTTAGCTCCAGTGTTGTGCTAGACAGTGATCGTGATTACCGTCCGCGGGAACGCGCGCAGCTGCTTAAAGCTCGTAGCGTCCAGATTACTTACGTAGTCAGCTACTTCCGTGCAACTGATATAAGATGCAGTAAGCTGAAACAGCTTCAACTGTCTGTTTGTTGAAAAATAGTAACGGACCGCATTTTCTTGTTAGTAACGGTAAGGGCATTGTAACGATAGGAATAGTAATTAGTTAGATTACTCGTTACTGAAAAAAAGTAAAGGAGTTAGTAACGCCGTTACTTGTAACGCCGTTATTCCCATCACTGTTTAGGTTTTCATCTATGTCCCCTTGTGTGAGTCTGTTCCTGTCCTCTGTGTTAGTATGACTTGTATTTCTTTTCTGTGTTTCATGCCATCAAGTCGGTGTTGTCATGTCTACGTCTCTCCATGTTTCCTGGTTTATTTTGAAAGTCTTGTTTCTACGTTTATTGTGCTTTGTGTTACTTTTGCCTGTGGTGTCATGATGTTCATTTGTGTCAGCTGTTTCCTCATGTGTCTCCACTTCCCCTGATCACCTCATGTTTATATTTAAGTCCTTTGTCTCTTACTGTTCTTTGTCAGGTCGTCTGGTGTCCTCGCCACAGATGTCATAGTTTTCCCTCATTGTTTCACTGTGTTCATAGTTTTTTATAGTTCTTTCACAGAGTGTCATAGTCTTTTAGTTTACACAGTGTTCTTAGTCTCCTTAGTTTGTCCAGTGTTGTGCCATCAGCCACAATAAAGGCTTGCTTTATTTTTGGAAACTTAGTTCTGTCTGCTTTTGGGTCTACCTCATCTTCACACCGGTGCACCCCGCCGTGACACTTTTCTTGCCTCAGTACTTAATACTAGATTACTAGAGCTCTTATATTTGAATAAAGTTTAGTTTTCCACTTCAAAAAAGCCACTACACTTTTATACAGTGTAGCCTGTATTTACATTTACGCAAACTCCAGATGTATTTTATCGGTTCATTTCCTTATTCAGCAGATGTGGTTTGTATATGATTAGATAGGAAATTGAACAGTACAGTTTCAGTTGGGAGTACTGCAAGTTATCACTATTTAGGATACATTTACATTAACAGTTATTTCCCAGTTTTTTGTACATTTTTTGTACATGTTTAAAAACAAATATCTATAAGAGATTTTTACCTTATCCTTTATCCATTACCTTAGCCAACAATGTGAAATTACAAAAAAGTTCACTTTCAACAATATGTCTATGTGATCTGTTCTTAAAGACTTTTAGAAATGTGGCTCCAAACACACAGGGAGTCTTTTTGTCATACTGCAAAGCTTCCACAGAATCAAACTGGACTTTTTGGTGGGCCAGTGTTGCAGTTCTTTTCTTCTGACATAAAAGAGGGATATAATCTCAATTCAATCTCTAAGTATTTATTTGCCTCAGTTCAAACAAAACATGTACATTGACTCTCCTTCAATAAGAAAACCACAGTCTGCAAGCAGTTAGCTGTATTCAGGGTCATTCTCTTTCAGGAAGCTAACTTAGCATTTCACAAGATTATATATGAAATTTTGCTTCTATTTAACTGGTCAAAACTGCTGGGCAGAGGCTGTGGTTTAGACTTGGCTTTCCCTCGAGGTCCCATCTTCCTGGCACTCCACTTTTCTCCAGTCAGGTGAGGCCACACCTGGGTTAGTAACCTGCCTCTCCCATTCCTGTATAACTACTTTTACCATAGTTACACGTCCCCATCTCTGCACTCAATCTCACATTCACCCTAGTTTTACTTCCTCATTTTAGTACCAGCCTAAGTCATAAAACCCCCACAGATATCTGTGTGAAATCTAACTATGAGCAACGGTCACGGTGGCATTCGCACCAGTATATGTTTGACATTTCTGCATCAGAACTTAACTTGTGCACAATTTCCAGCTGTGCATGAGCAGCATGCATTTTATCTGGTATGGTGCATTTGTATTTACTACAAGATTGTATAGAAAGAGTCGTAGCCTGGCTGGTAAACCCATAGCAGATTATTTTTAGATTCTACAACTGAATTTTTCTTTCCCTTAGGCTAAATGTAAGATATCTTTTCCTTTTTGTTATTGTGCAGAGTAAAATGCATCTGAATAAAATCAGAAAATCTCCCTTGTCCCATGCAGAACAAGATTAAGCGTTATTTCTCCAGCTAACGTGAGGACAAGTTTTGTGTGTGAACTCCATGTATTTGCCATTTAATTTGATGTTTCTGATTCATTTGCATGCTTGTAATAGCACTGCAATACAGATGGGATTATAAAATATTGGGGTAATATAAAAAAGGGACTGTGCCCTGCCCTTTTTCGGACACATTTTTAGCTCGTACATGGTTATCATCTTTGCATCAGCACCAGCCACCACCCAGATTGCCACTGGCCACCACCCAGATCCTGACAGAGTATTTAACGACCTCACTCACTTCCAGGCAAAAAGATTCAGCCCGCTTTGCTGTGAGAGTTGCCTCAAGTAAAGATGCTGAAGATTGCAACAGGAGCTCTGTTACTTCTCCTCTCCTGGTTTGGTGGACCGGTCAATGGAGAGATCAGTGCCAACTTGGAGAAGTGTCTTAAATTCTTTTATGAAAATACTACACCACAGGGCATCAGTGGAGAGGGCTATGTGGGAATATGTCAGATTTATGAAAATAAGTACCGCTTTGCCACCATGTATGACAGAACACGTCGTATACCATTGTACTCTGCCTATATACTCAGTTCTCCAGATGGTCCAAGACCTAAAACACCATGGAAGATTGAACCACAGGTAAGTGTGTAACATAACACGGTTTGATGTTCAAAGGCAGTCATTTCTTTGTACTGCTCATCTTTTAGAACATTGTCTGATGTGGCGTATATGCTTTTAAAAAATCATGGTGTCATAATGAATAACAATAGTGAGAATGTAAAAGTCTTGCTCTGATTTGAAGTAGCATGATCTCACTGTGACTAATAACCTTTTTTAAAAGCTGGGATTGTTGTCATTGCTGCCACATTGTTCACCTTCACCTCTAAGAAGATGCAATATGTTTAAAGCAGTAAATGCACAAAATAACATCATATTTAACAAAATAATAGCTGTCTCTCTTTAAAAATCATATGAATAAGCTTGACAGTATGCTCTCCGTGTTAGTATTCCCACGGATTCACACTGAAAGTGAAGCGGCACACACAGTATGATGAATGATAAATAATCTTTGTAGCTTTGAAAGATATAAAAAGCCTTTTTTTTCTTCAGCTGGCATCACTCAAAGCCAACAAAGAAATGAAGGACCAAGAAAATCCTGACCAAAACGTGAAGGACAGCCAGGCAGTTGATGAAGACTACACCAACTCTGGTTATACCAGAGGCCACCTCACCCCCAGCGGTCACCAAAACACAAAAGAAGACCGGATTGCTACTTTCACCCTTACAAATATTGTTCCTCAAATGGAAAAGTCCAATAGTGGCCCCTGGAATGTTCTGGAGAACCAGATGTTAACGAGGTTTAAGGAAATCTGCAAAGAGACAATGTATGTTATCACTGGGGCCATACCTTATGAATCTGGAGAGCATGTCATCAGTAAAAGGGTGCACGTACCTGAGTATATGTGGACTGCTTACTGCTGCCCAACTCAACAAAAATCTGATTTTTTCCCCACTTATGCTGCAGTGGGAAGAAATGATCCTAACAGTAAAGAGGACATTGTGGAAAAGAAAAATGGCTATGATGTGAAGGAGATGTCCCTGGAAGACCTGGAGAAGGTCCTGCAAAAAAGGCTAAAGATGTCTGGAATCAGTCTATTTAAAAATAAATGTAAGAAATAAATATGACAAGTTTTTGTTCTTTGTTAGATGATAGAAAGTCAAATATGATGAACAATAAAATAAAACTGAAATAAAAATAATGTCAAGCTTTCACTTGTTTTGTCTTTTTCTTTAAATGAATGAATTATTCTAACATACACAAAAACCCCTCATCACAAGTCCAAGATCTAGCTTCCTCAAACAAAGCCATGGTTGCACAGCTGATAAAGACTTGATGATTTTAATTGTATCTCGATACTTAAAACCTTAGAATTGAAAGAGGGATCGCTTTCTTTTTTATATGACCAATTTAAATGAGCTTAATTGGCTTTGAAATTTATTTATTTATTTTTTATCTCTCACATGCTGTGACATAATTTATACATCATTTCTACTCCTCACAACTAATGAAACTAAGCACTGCCTTGAGAATCTCTTTATTTTTTCTAACTTTCCTTTGATTTGTAGTCAGTCAGTTGGAGTCAGTTAGCTGGTGTTTTTGTCAGGGGATGGGTCTGTGACCCAGCATTTTGAGTTCATTTTGTATTTTTGATTTCTTATATTGTAAATAAGTCTTGTGTTGGTATTATCAGTTAGAATTTAGTTGAGTATTATTTTAGTTTAGGTTTTCATCTATGTCCCCTTGTGTGAGTCTGTTCCTGTCCTCTGTGTTAGTATGACTTGTATTTCTTTTCTGTGTTTCATGCTATCAAGTCGGTGTTGTCATGTCTACGTCTCTCCATGTTTCCTGGTTTATTTTGAAAGTCTTGTTTTCTACGTTTATTGTGCTTTGTGTTACTTTTACCTGTGGCGTTGTCAGGCCTGCCGCTCAGGGCCTGGGCGTGGACATCGCTGCGTCACACCTGGTGAGGAACCGGGGCTTGCCGCTGACGGCCCGCAGTCTGTAAGTCTCTCCCGTGGACCATGGCGGGAACAGCCTCCTGCCTGGACTTGGGTTGCGTTCATTCTGCATCTCGCTGTTAACGGTCCTTGTTATCCCCAGTCCCAACCCTGGGTCCTCTCGTTCCCACGTGTACCTTAGTGTCTACGTTGTTAAAAGATTCTTCAGTTCAACTTGTACATAGTTCTGAGCTGCGGTGTGCTGAGTCTGCTTTGGGGTCCTGTTACCTGAACACTCCGTGTTCCGTGACAGGCGTCATGATGTTCATTTGTGTCAGCTGTTTCCCCATGTGTTTCCACTTTCCCTGATCACCTCTTGTGTGTAGTTAGTCTCTGTGTTTCATTCTGTCTTTGTCAGTTTGTCTGTTTGAGTTCGTGTTGAATCAGGCCAAGTCAGATAATTTCCCCTACTGCTCAGGGTTCATGTTTGGTTTATTTCATTGTTCCATAGGCACATGTTCCTGTTCAGTTTCATGTTCTTGTCCATCGTCACTGTTTTCATAGTTAGTTTAGTATTTCTCAGTGTAGTTCTTAGTTTAGTTTTCGCCTTTGTTTCTTGTTCCTTTATTTTGTAATCTGCTGCAATAAAGGCTCGCTTTTTGTTTAAACCTCAGTTCATCTCTCCTGTATTCTGTGTTTATGAATTAAACAAACAAGTGGGGCGAGCATAAATAGAGGAACATTGTGGTCATAAATATTTTTTACATGTTAATCAAACTGTGTATGTGTGAACTGGGTTTTGTAACCTTTGAAACCAAAATGAAAATTTTATGTTTGTGCATCCATAGATGAGAATTTGTGTGTAAAAATGATTTGTTTTGTAAAAATTATAAGTTACTATTTTTTTTGTTAAGCTCTGGTTACAGACAGATACAAAGCAAAAAACTACATCTAAAGCTCTGCACTCAAGTTCCCTCACTTGTGCGTGAGTTTCAACTGAGTTTCAACACATTTGATCAGATTATACTTCCTTTCAGCTGAGCTGCTGATTGGTCAATGTCATATCAATCACAAATGTAACAATCCAATGAGAGAACAGATTGGATTCCTGGAAGGGAATAAATGCCCTTTCACATGCCAATGTTTTTCTTTATCATCATGAAGGAAAAAACAGGTTCTGTGCGCATCCGAGTTTGGTGAATTTTTCGTCACAGGATCAGCAGGATCTATTTTATCAAGACTTTGGACAAAGCTCTCCTTGTTCGATCTGCAAAGGCTCTGATGTGCTTTTCATTCACAAATCAGTTTTTCCTCCCCACCATGATCTACTGCTTGCTCTTAGGGGATCACTTGATCATTTGGCATCTCTGTAATACGCTAGGGCCGTGCTTCTCAATTATTTTCTGTTACGCCCCTCTTAGGAAGAAGAAAACATTTTGCGCCCCTCACACTCCTTCAATATAAACAGTATAATTTGTCTATAAAATTGTTATTATAAGTTCATCTTTGCATAATGTTGTAGCCTTATTAACATTAAAGAAAACAAAAAATAAATAAATAAATATAAATCAACTTAAAACAAAGAATAACTTTTTTAGTCTGTAACAGAAAAGATTTAAAGTGCATGTAGTCGCAGTGAAGCCAAGCGCTACATAAACTGGTCATATTTCCTCATCTTAGTTTTAGGGAGACTTTGGTTTGTCTCATTATCCCCGTCTCTCTCCGCCTTTCTTTTCATCACTGTTAAATATTTTTGCATTTTTCTTGAGGGTTTGTTTTTTGCACTTCCACTTCATATCTCCTGCTCTTTGCTGTGTGTGTGCACATGCTTGGTGGATGTGCAATTGCAGTTTATTCTAGTACGGCAGAATAAAGACCCCCCCCCAAACTGGCATTGGCCCCACTGTGTGAGGTGGTTATTGTGATTAGGAGCTATATAAATAATCTGAAACTGAATTCAAATAAACAGTCCAAAAACAAAACAAAATAAAACAGTTGCAGTAAAATATTTTCAATAATTTATCTTTTACTCAGTTGTCTTAATGAGTTTGGTAGTGATAGTGTTAAACTGTCAAAAAACAAGTTTAATAAATTAATTAATCAAATTATAATGTGCCTTTAAGGTTCTATAAATTTGTCTATGTATTACAGTGGATTTGAGTTTAACATGTGCAATCATCTACAGTGTTTTTATGCTGCTAAGAACATAATTACCAAGATGTTTAAATACATTCTACCATAAATTTTATGATTTTTAATCATTTATTGTGTTGTGCTTTGCAAAGACAATAAGAAATACTTCTGTTTTTCATGTAATTGAGAAACTAAGCAGCTTTAACGTGAAGGAAAAGAAATGCTAATGTTGCCGTGGTAACCAGAATGTTACCACTGTTCTATGTTCACATGTATCTGAAAGCATCATGCTCCTTCATGATGTCATTAGAGATTAGAGAGAAACATAAAATGACAGACTGTAGAGAAAGCTAGAGGCACTGTAACCAAAAATACAGCTCATCAAGAAATAGGTAATTGGGACAGTGGAGTGTTGGAGTGGCCAGTCACATCTGTAAAAAGTTCCTTTTTGCAGTCAACCCTGCTTCTTTCAAAGAATTGCTAAGATTAGCCATATTTTAACTAGCTTCCTGTGTTTTGTGATTGGTGTATGAATACACTGTAACTCATTAGGACTTGTTGTGGTCTGTTGTGGTCTAATGATCGTAGCGTATGTCTGTACATATTTTTGCATGTTCTTTTCTCTTCCTGCACAAGTCGACCAATGTTGATCAACTTTTGCATAAACATTGACTGGGGCTCTGTGATTGCTAACATCTGTACTGCCGACACAAATATTTGTTCACCAACCCTATAGGTTTGTATATGTTACAGTTAAGTTGAGCAACTAATAGAATGTCATTGCATATAATGGAACGTGAGGTTAGAATAGTGTGACACAACATAATGTATCATAGCATCATGCTGTTGTGACTGTAGCATACGCATGTTTGTATGTTTGTTTGTTTGTTTGTGTGTTCTGTGTCTCTCACGTGTTGTGCAGCAGTGTGCTACTGTAAAGAAATGAGTTGTAGGTGAAGACTTTTGTGCAGAACTGTAAATTTACAAAGCATTCCTTTGAAGTATCACACTATGTGT